TCCTCCTCCTCCTCTTCCTCCTCCTCCTCCTCCTCCTCCCTCCATTGTGGCCTTCTTCTGCCTCTTCCTGCGCTGCTCCCCGGGGGACATGCGGGCTGCGCAGCCGACGCCACAAGTGTGGGCCCTTGGCAGGTCGAGCGGAGCCCGGGGAACGTGCGCAGGCAAGCGGGGCCTCGCAGCTGCCTGAGGGGGACCGCGAAGTGCGCAACGGGCGCCACTTTCGTGGGCTCCCTGGGAGTCCGAGCAGATAGGGGGCCACATGCGAACCCTACCCCTATCCCCCACGATTTCCGAGGGGGAGGGTGGGGTTCACCTCGTTCGGGGGCTCCCGAGCGAAGTGAACCCCAGCCTCCCCTTCAGAAATCGTGGGGGGTAGGGGTAGGGTGCGCATGTGGCCCCCTAGCAGAGATGAGGGCAGCGCAGGTCGTGCATGTCTTGCGATGTGTGCTTTTGTATGGAGCGCTCATTCAAACGTTCGCCCGGCGTGGCGATGGGGCTGCGCACGTCTCGCGCATTCCGACCTCACCGGCGCCGTTGTTTGTTTTTGTGCATTCGTTTCCCTACTGGTGGAGCGAAGTCGGGCGTGTCCCTTCACAGGAGGAGTATTCAAAAATAGTAGCAGTAAAAAGATAGTCTGGTGACGATTTCCGGGTATTTTTTTGGCAGTTTTGGGTATTTTTTAATTTAGTTTTCGTCGAATATCTGTCTGTAGGGGGACATGCTGTTTTCGCACCAGTTCCGAACGTCCTTCGGATCCCTGGACTGCCCGGTCCGCTTCGGTGAACTGTATTTTTTACCGTTTCGGTGTTTTTTGGGGTGGTGCGGTTTTCACCATCAATAGACAGTTTTCTTTCGCAAATGGTCAAAAAAATTGGCCCTGCCGTTTCCAAGGCCCATTCAGCCCCAGGCCTTCGACGTCCTGGAAAATTCAACACGCAGGTTTTTCGACGTTTTCGGCTTCTGAGGGCCGCTTTCGGGCTCCAGGGCATTTCCAAAAACCGACTCGGGATGAAAAAGCGGCCTTGGATAGAGGGTCGGGATTTCCATCGGGTGTTCGGGTCCGCCCTTGAAAGGGAATTGAATTCGGGATTGGGAGACTGGGGACGAAGACCCACCGCAGCTCCAGTCCACTTTTGAGTAGGGTTCGTTCGTTGCCAGTATCGCCGCGGACGTCTTCCATTTGTAAGGGGAGGCGCCTGCCCAACAGCTGTGGTTGTCGGTTTGGGACAGCATTTGTGCTCAGGCATCGTCCCCGTTTTTAATGTCCCTGCTCGAATCGTTCCAAGCCTCCCACTCCCACCCCCTTCTCCCCCTCTCCCCCTTCCCCCCCCTCCCCCTGCTCCTCCTCCAGCTCCTTCCCCATACCGTTTTATTACGAACACGGCGGAGGCCCATGCCAAGAAACACCCTGCTTGCTTCCAGGGTGCCCTGGGTTTCTTGGGTTTCGATGGTTGTGCCATGGGAAGCGTAACGTTCCCACACAAAAAGTCAACGGACGTCCTGGGGTCTCAGGGTTGGGCTTCTTGTGGGAGGTTTCTGGTGGTCGGGCCCCTACTGCAACTCCTCCTCTCGTTGCGCCACCCTTTGTGTCGCTACGGCGGGCCGGGCGCTCCGCCTGAGACTTCCCCACCGTCGAGGATCTGAAGTTTGAGCTTGCAACAGCTGCATGGATGGGGGGCGGGTGGTTTTCAAAATGCGACTTTCGGTTTAGAGTGGCGTGCGTTCGCCCCGAATCTGGCAAGACTTGTGGATGGTGGCCCATTCTGAACCTGCGGCTCTCGCCTTCACGCCGCGCGCATCCGTTTCAAAAGCTTGCAGGAGTTACCAGGATGGAGGGCGGCTCTTTTTCACAATTGGGCTATCACTGGAGAGTTCACGCGTGTGTACATATATATATATATATATATTCCCCAAGCAGAGCTTGCCTCTGTAGGGGTCCTAGCGGATTCGTATGGTTAGGTGAGGTAGGCCGCCGATGTCGGTGGCCGGCCTGGGTGCCCGGGTGCCCGGGTGCCCGGGGTGCCCGGTAGCCTTACAGCCCTATGGTGCCCTACAGCCCTATAGCCCTAATAGCCCAAAAGCCCTATAGCTCTATAGCCCTATAGCCCTATAGCCCTATAGCCATATACCCCTATAGCCCTATAGCCTTATAGCCTTGAAGCCTTATAGTTGTATAGCCCAGAGCCCTATTGCCCTATAGCCCTGTAGCCCTGTAGCCATATACCCCGATAGCCTTATAGCCATATAGCCCCAGAACCTTATAGCCCTATAGCCCTACAGCCCTATAGCCCTATAGCTCCGTAACCCTATAGCCCTAACACGATGATAATTGGGTCTTTCTCCGGTATCGTGTATATATAAACATATGCATGTGCATATTGCACATTTGTGTGATTACACGTATGGTCAGTCAGGTGCAATTTTGAAATAGCTATGCGCATGCTCTATTCTCCCTTCTCCTCCGTCCTTTCTCCTCCCTCCTCCAGTGCGACGCTGGCGCCGCTCTCAGGGCCGCCGTGGCTTGCTAGGCCCTGTTCGCCCTCGGAGCCACCCTCCCTGCTTCATCCCTCCTCCCTACTTCTCCCTTCTCCCTCCATCTCTTCCTCCTCTTTCTCTTCCTCCTCCCCCTCCCTTTCACAATTACTCAATATGAATACTACTCTCCTCCTTCCCCTGATGACGGGTTGGGAGTGTTCCGCCCCCCCCCCCGCGTATTGTTTTTTACACACAGGATTCCCCGGAGTTGGGTTTTCGCCTGCATTTTTTTCAAAATGCTGCTCTCGCTGAGGCGCCGGCCTCATTTTCGGGCCCCGCTCGTTCCGAATCGTGCTCCCGCTGCAGCGCTGGCCTCATTTCGGTGCTTCCGCTCGTTCCGAATCGTGCTCCCGCTGCAGCGCTGGCCTCATTTCCGCGCTTCCGCTCGTTCCGAATCGTGCTCCCGCTGCAGCGCTGGCGTCATTTCCCGTGCCATGCCACGGCATGCAATGCAATGCTAGGTTGCGTTCCGCTGCGCGATGCCATGCCTTCAGCTGAAGCTGTGATATGCAGTGCTTAAGTGCCATGTCGTGCTATGCCATGCTACGCTTTGATCTTCAACGCCATGCTATGCAATGTTATGTTCGGGGCCGCTGTGCGATGCCATGCTTTGCGTTGCAAAGCTTTGTGATGCAATTCTTCACTACGCCACGCCACGCCATGCTGTGACATACTACGCTTTGCGGTGCTCTTCTACGCCATGCCATGCCGTGCTCTACAATGCATCGCGTACCTTTCGGGATCATTGCCCTGCTCGACATCCGACTGTGCGAGTAGAGAGGGGATCTACGCCATGGTAAGGGATGGGAGGGAGGGGTAGGATGTCAGATATGACGCGAGCGCACCTAGCTTGCCCCCCCCCTCCCCCCCGTTGCCCATTCCGCAATCTTTTGGCTCTAAGGACTGCGGAGCCTAGCGCGGATCTCCCAGCCGCACCCGAAGCAACACTGCTGAGGGAAGACGAGGACTCAGGGGCCGAATGGGAAGCCGCCCACTTTCTCGGCAACTCTCAGGTTTTCGCATCCTCTCTTCCCCCTCCACCAGTGCCTCCCTTATTGGCCTGTGAACAGCAAAGACGTCTTCGAACCAATCGGGGCAGATGCCGACAACCGCGGCAAGCCCGCATGTCCAGTCAGGCTCCCGTTTTTCGACCTACCCCTCTCCCTGGCATCTCTCTTTTGCAAACATCTGGAACGCGCGCGGGGCCCGCTCCCAGGACGACCTCTTCGAGGACATCGGGTCAGATGTACGTTCGGTTCAAGCGCGTGGGCGCCTCTTCCACAGCCGCTCTATGGATGATATGGCCGTGCTTCCTGGCTTGCCTGCGCCACCAGGCCAACTTGCCCCCCCCTACTCGCGTGGCATTTGTTTCTCATCACCACTGGCTGCATCAGCAGCAATCGCTCTTCAAGTTCCCCCCTCCAGCGCCTCCCGTACAGAAGCCCAGACGCCGATTCGAAGGTTCGGCCAGTCGCTGGTGGAGCGAGCAGCAGCCGCGGCCATACTAGTGCCCAGAGACAGCATGCGTTGGCGTTCGGACTGCGGATTCTACTTTCAATCGTGCTGAGCCGACGAGACCTCTAGCTCAGCAGATGACGAATCGTCAGTGTCGTCCGCTGCCGCTCCTTCCCCTCTATCAGGCCCCTGTCCCCCCTCACTTGCCCCATTTCGAGCAGGCCCGGCGTCTCCTCCTTTCGTTTTTCTGGCCGAGGACGGCGACCAGAGGCCCAACAAGACCGTTTTGGCTCCCCGGTCTCGCTTTTCCGCCCCGCCGGCCCCCTCCGATACGAGAGGCACTCCCGGCCAGATCGCACCTCGTCTGGCAAGTGACTGCCCCACGAGCCCTCGTGCTGCTCGCTCCGCGGCAAGCGGCCTCCGCCCCAATGGCGTTCCGACCCAGCTCTGCAGGGTAATGTCCCCGCGTCCTCCTCTACCTCCTCCTCCTCCTCCTCCTCCTCCTCCTCCTCCTCCTCCTCCTCCTCCTCCTCATCATCATCATCATCATCATCATCATCATCATCATCATCATCATCATCATCATCATCATCATCATCATCATCATCCCCCTCCCCCTCCCCCTCCTCCTCCTCCCCCTCCTCCTCCTCCTCCTCCTCCTCCTCCTTCTCCTCCTCCTCCTCCTCCTCCTCCTCCTCCTCCTCCTGCATTGCCAACCCCTCCGGGCGTGGCGGTTGGCCGCGTCGGGAGCGGAAATCGCTCGCACGACTTGGCCATTGCGACATTGGGCCCGCCTGTGCGCACCTGGCGCCTTTGCACGTCCGGCTGTGGCATACGACGACCTCAAGTCAGCAAAGTTTCTTCATCGTTCGTCTCCCTCTTCCTGTTCTTCCTCCTCCCTCCCTCCTCCCTCCCTTCCTCCCTCCTGTGCGCACTCGCCCCGTCGAAGTGTGGGTTGTCCTAAGGCGTTCTCGGGCCGTCGTGCGCGTTCGGAGGCCGTCCTGCGCACCCGGAGGTTATCTTTAGGGCCTCTGGGCCGCCTTGCCGACTGGGGGTCCTCTTGCGGCTCTTCTGGGCCGTCTTGGGATGGTTTTTAGGGGGCCTTTTTGGACGCTCGTAATATCGAAGCGGCAGCACTTTGGCAAGACTTCAGTTTGCCCTTCATGGGAGCCTTTTGGAAGCCTCCTCGGGTGTCTTAGGGCCATTTTGGGCTGTCTTGGGCCATTCTGGGCCGTCGTGGGGCCATCTCGAGTCAACTTGGAGGCCACTTGGGCCATCTGGGCCGATGTGATTGCGACCAGGGCCCTCTAGGAGACCCTCCTGGAGACATCCTGGGCGGACGCGCCAAACGGCCAGTGGGAAATTAGTGGAAGACCCATGTTGCTTTACAGTCTGGTTGGCCCAAGCACCCCTGTGGCCAGCAACAGGGGCGGCGGATCTAGGCCATCATTCGGGCAAACAGAGCCATACTTCGGAGGACGTGCTGACCAACATCCACGGGGTTGGAGTAGGAATATGGTGCTGAGTCAGGTTAGCCAGGTGCAAGTCAGAGGGTTGCGCCTACTTCCACCCTCCCCCACACAACCTAGTAATCAACTCTGGCACAACTTGATACTGGGATTGGCACGCGCCCCCATCTCGCAAACGGAGGGCGCTCGCGCGCGGTCCCGCTTCCGACGACTTGGCGAAGAGAACGCTACGCGGGCCGCGCAGGGAGAGGAACGGCGCAATTTTTGATGGGCGCGGCGAAGGCAAAGCATGCGCCGCACGGGCGCAGTATTACCATTTTCGCTCACGCACTCCGCGACGTGTGGGCGAGGTCAACACTCCGCCCGCTTTCGCGCAGCCCCGCTGCCGCTGTCGCTTCCGCTCGCTTCGGCGAAGACGAGCCATGCGCCGCGCCCGCGCTGGAACGCCACTCCCGATCCCGCGTGCGCACGGAGCTTGGGCTGATGAGCCTGTTTTCCACCACCACCACCATAAGTTGGAGGGGGGAAGGAGGAGGAGGACGAGGAGGAGGAGGACGGAGAGGAGGAGGAGGAGGTGGAGGAGGAGGAGGAGGAAGAGGAGGAGGAGGTGGAGGAGGAGGAGGAGGACCCTCTCCCCCTCCAACTTAATGGAGGTGGTGGTGGTGGTGGAGGCAAAGAAGCCCATCATGGGCGAGGGCAGCACGTTGCCCGCTCGCGCGGCCCTCTCCCGAATTCGGCGAGCGACAGGGCCTGCGCCGCGTCGAGGCGGGAAACGCCGTGCTCCCGCGACGTCTGCGCGGGGCGCCGCGGCGAGCGACGTCTCTTCGGCCGCTCGCGCGTCGGCGAGAGGCGGCGTGCGCGAGACGTGCGGCCGCGCCCGGGCGGGGACGCTGCTCCCTGGAGGCATGGGCGCGGCGCCGAGGCGTCGGCGACGCTGCCCGCCCTTCGCGCGGGATGTGCGGCCCGGCCCGCTCCCGCCGCGCATGTCTTGCAGCATGGACGACGGACAGTTCATGCAGCGTCGAGCAACATTGTTGTTTTTTCTTTCATTTACTTGAAAGGCGGGACGGGGCCACCGGGACGGGGTTGCCATCGGCGGGCTCGGTGGCGCAGTGGGAGCATTTATCAATAAGCAACCAGGTTAGGGGACGTGGTGATGATACTTTTGTTGATGATGTTGATGTTGAGTTCTCGTTTCTAACCAATCTGTTTTTGTTGATCCCCCCCTGGTGCCCACCGTGTTCTTCAATCAAAGTGCTTCTCCTGGGGCTCGCACCTTGTTCTTTGCAAAGAAGTCTTGAGCCTCAGATTGGGCCCCTGGCGACGTCCTTAAAATTTATGCAGGAATCGCGCTCTCGCGTGGTGCTTCCTGGCAAGTTATTGAATCGCCGCGCCCCCAACACTCAGAAATGAGGCTCTCGTTCTAGATTTCCTGACGATGTATTCGGGAATCGCGCTGTCGCTCGAGACGTAGTAGCGATTCATGCAGGACTGACGCTTGGGCGACTCGCCCGCTCGACCCGGCCGCCTGGGCCCGCCTGACCCGGCCCGCCCGACCCGCCCGTCTGGTTCTGCGGCTTGTTATTTTGCTTCTGGCATCCCTCCTGCTCACCTTTCCCCTGCTCATCTCTGTCGTGATCCACCCTTCTCTCTTCCCGTTGCGCCTTTCTCCTCCCTCCTCCTGCTTTAGGGGGTGCGCCAATTACGCGTGGCAGGTAATGAAGATAGGCCCCCAGGGGGGTATGATCGAAGACGAAGGGGCGGGTGTCGAGGGTCGGGGGTGCACATGTTGACGAACACGTAAGCATATGAAAGCGAACAGTTTCACAATGATTGTTGTTGTCGAGAATGCTGCTGCTGACGGTGATGAATATTATGATGACGATGACGACGATGATGATGCTGTTGCTGATGACGATGATGATGATGATGATGATGATGATGATGATGATGATGATGATGATGATGATAATGATGATGATGATGATGATGATGCGGTTGACGATGATGGTGTTGCTGATGGTGATGACGAGGATGTTGATGATGACGATGATGACAATGGCGATGTGCTGATGATGATGATGCTGATGCTGCTTGTGCTTGTGATGACGGCAGTCATACCGAGTCGAGCAGGATGATGACGACTCGGATGCTGATCCTGATGATGATCATGATGATGCTGATGCTGTTCATGGTGATGGGTGTTGATGATGATCGTGATGATTATGCTGGTGGTAAAGGTGATGCTGCGGATGATGATGATGATGATGATGATGATGATGATGATGATGATGATGATGATGATGATGATGATGATGATGCTGTTGATGATGATGATGATGATGATGATGATGATGATGATGATGATGATGATGACTACGATGATGATGATGCTGCTGATGATGATAATGATGTAGCGATGATCATGATGAGGATGCTGATGCTGATGATGGTAATGCTGATGGCGACGCTGACGACGATGATGATGACGATGGCGATGATGATCATGGTGATGATGGTGATGATGATGCTGATGCTGATGATGCTGCTGCTGATGATGATGGTTAGGATGATGCTGCTGATGATGCTGGTAGTTGTGAGGATGACGACGAAGACGGTGATGATGATAACAGCGATGATGATGGTGATGATTCTACCTATGAACATGATGATGCTGGTGCTGCAGATGGCGAAGGCGATGATGATGGCGCTGCTGCTGATGATGATAGTGATGATGGTGATGCTGTTGATGATGATGATGATGCCGATGATGATAACGACACTGATGATGACGATGACGATGAAGGTAATGATGATGACGATGATGATGCTGCTGCTGATTATGATGAGGTTGTTGTTGATGATGACTGTTGTGGTGGTGGTTGTGATGACGCTAACGATGAGTTGACGCCGATGATGCTGCTGCTGATGATGATGACGCTGATGATGATGACGCTGACACTGATGATGATGATGCTGATGATGATGATTGTGACAATGATGATGCTGATGATGATGATGATGAGGATGGTGATGGTGATGATGATGCGGATTCTTATTATGGTAATGATGATGCTACTGATGATTATGATGATGATGCTGCTGATGATGCTGTGATGATGATGACGATGATGCTGGTGATGATGATGATGATGATGCTGATGATGATGATGATGATGATGATGATGATGCTGACGATGCTGACGATGCTGATGATGATGATGATGATGATGATGATGATGATGATGATGGTGGCGACGACGACGATGACGCTGCTTAGTCTGATGGTGCTGCTGATGATGATAGAGAGGATGAGGACGAGGATACATTTGAGGGTGATAATGAGGAGGAGGAAGAGGAGGAGGAGGAGGAGGAGGAGGAGGAGGAGGAGGAGGAGGAGGAGGGTGATGATGATGATGATGATGATGATGATGATGATGATGAGGAGGAGGAGGAGGAGGAGGAGGAGGAGGTGGAGGAGGAGGAGGAGGAAGAAGAAGAGCCCTCTTGGAAGCCTCTTCAGGACATCTTCAGGGCTTCTGTGGCCCTCTGGGTCGAGGCGAATGTCAGTTTGGGTTATCTCTATGGGCAGCCGTCTTGGGGCGATCTTGGCGGCCTCTTGGGCCATCTTGGACGCTCTGCAGGCAGAAATCCCGAGAAGGCCTTCTCCAATCCTGCAAGCATTTGTTTCCATGGGTTTTGACTTTCTGGACAGCCCAGGCCTCCAAGACGACCGAAAAGGCACCCACGAGGGCTCCAGGATAGCTCCTTAGGCCGTGTTGGAAGCTTGGACTCTGAGCCCGTGCCCCCCAGTCCTCGGGAAAGCCACGTGGCGATTCCCAGGAGCGGCCGACCATCCCCAGAACTTGGGGGTCCGCCCCCTCGCCCCCCCCAACAGGGTGTTCACAGTCCTCAATACAGAGGGGGCGCTCGTATGGGGCACGAGGACTCTTCATTTTGTGCCTCGGGGCACGTTGGCGTACATCCCGCTGCGGCCCCGAGGCGCTTTGGGGTGCCTGGCTTGGGCGTTTACTGTCGAGGCTCCAGCCGTGGCCCCGGCCTCCCTCCTCTTCCTCCCGCCCCTCCCCGAGGACCTTCCTGAGGGCGTCCAGGACATCTCCGAGATGACCTATAACCAGGTCGGCACGTGGACTTGGGCGTGGATGGAGCCTATGATCGGGAGGGGCGGCTGGAGGGGTGCAGGGGGGGAGGGAGGAGGGAGGAGGGAGGAGGGAGGAGGACGGAGGGAGGAGGGGGGTGGGAGGAGGAGGGAGGAGGGAGGAGGGAGGAGGGAGGAGGGAGGAGGGAGGACAGAGGGGAGAGGAGGAGGGAGGGAGGGAGGGAGGGAGGGAGGGTGGTGGTGGTGGTCACTGCACGAGGGAAGCAACATTCCCGAGCAGAGCGCTGCGCATCGTGCAAGCCGCGCTTCCGAAAGCAATCGTGCGGGCCCACGCCCCACGAACGTGAGCGGGCGGATGCCCTCACGGCGGGTCCTGCGCACGCCCCGCCGGGCGACGGAACGGCGGGCACAGGGCGCCGAGGGACTCGCCGTGTAGTCTGTTGGCGCCCCAAATCCCTGGGGGCACGGTTGGGAACAGTGAAGACATTCGTTCTAAGCGGAGGGGGGAGGGGGGGAGGGGGGGGAAGGGGAGGTGGGCGCTGCTCGCTCACCAGGCTACCTCAGAGTTCCTCCATGCTGCCTTTGCAGGGCGCGTCTGGGACAATCTTGCGCAGCTCGTCCAAAAGGACCTGTAACTTGCGCTCGCCTCCCGCACGGGGGGCCTGGCCGTACTTCTGCACGCCGCCACTTGCAGAGATGGCTTTCACCATGATGCGCGTCAGCTCCTTGGCCTCCTGGGCCGTGGCCAGGAAGAGCTTCTTGTTGGTGTCCCGGAAGGCTCTACGAACCTTGCACACATGTACCAAGGCGTCGGGATCCGACGCTGCAGAGCGGTGGTTGGTGACCACGGTCCTCTCTTCCGGGCTCAGATGGTCGTCGGTGGCCGCCAGGGCGGTGAGGTTGGCCCAGACGTGCACGTGTGGCTCACCCAGGGGCTTTTGTCCTCGGCCCTCTGCCGCAGCCTTGCACGTGTCGGCGTACTGCTTGCTCGTGCGCCAGGCCTCGGAGATGTACTTGATGTCAGTCTGGCAGAATATCATGATGAATGCAGCCGCCTGGAGCTCTCTGATCTCCAAGCTGTTCTTCAGAGTGAGGGCGGCGACCAATTTGATAATCTGTGCGAGCAGCTCCTCCACGCCCGCTGCGACCTTCTTGGCTGCCAGAGCCCCCTCCTGAACACCGCCCTTCAGCGACCATGTCTCCATGGCTGGCAATTGTGGCTGGAGAAGATGTGAGGATAGAAGGAGACGATAAGAGGCTGTTCCACACAATGTGTGCAATCAAAGGGCAACAACAAATGGCCCTGGAACGTGCTGCGTGACGTGATCAATAATCTATGGTCAATCATCGCATTCCTCACCACACTGCTTGCACACCAGGTCGTCTGGCACATTAGTAACCGTAGTGAGTATGCTCCCCGTCCCCCTGCATGCTTTGTGCTTTAGAGAAAGTGCGATGTGTCGACGTGCAGTACCGCGAGTATGGAAGACACCTGGACAAGGGGCACCGATTCGTCACTGTGGCAACGTCTGCGTACTGAAGTTTGCCATCCTCCCCTCCCTTTGTCATCCGCTGGTGGATGATGAGTTGTTTTCTGGTTGGGAACGTGGCTCCGCACACAACCAGGGAGTGAGGGAGGGAGGAGGAGGAAGAGGATGAGGAGAAGGAGGGAGGAGTGAGGAGGGAGGAGGGAGGAGGGAGGTGGTTTAGGAGGAGGAGGAGGAAGAGGAGGAGGATGAGGAGGAGGAGGAGGGAGGAGGAGGAAGGAGGAGAGGAGGAGGGGAGGAAGGATGGAGGATGGAGGATGGAGGAGGGAGGAGGAGGAGAGGGAGAGGAAGGGAGGAGGGAGGGGGAGGAGGGAGGAGGGAGGAGGGAGGAGGGAGGGAGGGAGGAGGAGGGGGAGGGAGGGGGAGGAGGGAGGAGGGAGGGAGGGAGGGAGGGAGGGAGGGAGGGAGGGAGGGAGGGAGGGAGGGAGGGAGGGAGGGAGGGAGGGAGGGGGGGAGGGAGGGAGGAGGAGGAGGAGGAGGAGGAGGAGGAGGAGGAGGGAGGAGGCAGGAGGGAGGGAGGCGGGGTTTGGCAGGATAGGTGCTCAGATCGCCGTGCTGAACGGTCTGCCGTGTGGGTCCGGTCCTGCGGCCAGCCTTGGTGCTCCTGTCGTAGGGCAAGCGGGTGGGCCTCTTGAGCCGTCCTGGGCCGTCGGAAGCCCGAAGGGCGAGAATCCCAAAAGCAGATCACACAAGAGAAAAAACCCAAACAGTGGATGGTTTTCGCTGAGGAGATCGACCCGGGAACCCGGGAGCCTGGGAACCCAGAGCCCACCGAAATCGGCCCGGAACCAATAACCGGCAAATTGGGAACCCGGAGCCAGGAACCCGGGAACCCAGCCTGCTACCAAAATCGGCGGGATTTTTTTGCCAAATGTTTCAACTTCCGCTATGACCCCTTCAGTTCAAGCACTGATTGGGGAACAACCAGCTATGAACATCGATGTTTTTGGCTTCCTCAGGGTCATCTTTGAGCCCTTTTGGGCAGTCTTGGGGCCCTCTCGGGCCAGCTGGGCGCCCTTTTGGGTCGTTTTGGGGCGTCTTCCATATGATGATCGCTTTCGTATTCAGTGTTTTGCCGATCGGCGCAGGCCCTCGCCCCCCCTCCCCCCATGGCGCAGATCTTGGTCATTTTTGACCCCTGTCTCAAGCAGGTGGAGTCTCCCCCATAGGACGCACTGCTGCACACCCTTGCGTGACGCAGAGGTCCGAAGCCAGACCCTGCCCCTCTCCCCCTCCGCCCCTTCCGCCCAGTGTCGAAACGCTGAGCAAGAAACCGCTCAACGACGAAGAGGTCCTGCTTCGCGCCGTGTCTCCGCGTCTCCTCCCACCAGGGCCGCCGAGCACGGGACGCGATGCCTCGTGACGCCTTCGGCTCCCGTGCTGCCGCGGCTTGCCGCCGGCTCGCGCCGCCTCGACGCGACGGCGACGCGGGCGCGAGCGTTCGAGGCTGAGCACCCTCCGGGGGCCCTGTGCGGAGTTCCCGGGGCCCACAGAGCACGACCCACGTCGCGAGGTCTGGACGAAGGGTGGGATTGGCGTTAGGTCGGGCCTGTCCCTCCACAAGAGGAAAATTCAAAAATTAGTAAAAAATAGTCGGGGGGCGATTTGGCGAGTATTTTTGGCATTTCTTCTTAAAATGAATCTTTTCTATTTTTCCTTAAATCTGCCTGTAGGGGGACATGCCCGACCTAAGATTGGCAGCTTCTGATGGCCCCAGGCAGCGGGGGGTCGTTCCAGACTGAACGGGTCGCGTGGTGGCAGACGCCAGGGCCCGCGTCGCCACGGCAGGAGCCTTGCGTACATGCCGACGGGTAGCAGGGCGAGGTCATGCGAGAGTGGTCCGACAGGGATGGTCACGCCATGTTGCTGAGATCTTGCCAGGAGCTCGTTCCGCTGCTTCGTCTTGCTCGTCACGCCACTCCTTTGTTCGCACGCCGTGTTTGAAATCCCAGCGGAATCCACGCCCCGAGCATCGGCGTTGCATGTTTCCCGATTGCAGCAACGAAGACTCTTACGCCATGGTTTACAAAGGTCTGCCGTTCTTGGTTGGCAACACAGAGGTGCTGTGCACTGTGTGGTGCCATTCGCACACCGTGTTGAGCTCAACCAGCCCCATGGTTTAGGGAAAGCTTGGCACGCAAGTTCCCCCTATGATGTGGCAACATCAGTCCTGCGCGCCTCGCCCGAAGCTCCCGACCCCGGGAGGACGGCGAGTTTCCTCCTCTTGTGCATGCAGTTCTGCCGCGCTCAGTCCGTCAAGATGCAGATGGCCACGTACACCGAGGCCCACCTCCTCCTCCTCCTCCTCCTCCTCCGCCTTCCTGCTGATTCGTTCCCCTCGAGGTTCACAGCTCAAGTGGCCGCTTGGCCCATGGGGGTCCCGCGCACGACGCCTTGGGCTCTTTTCCCTGTCCGCGGTGTCCTCCACTGTGCCTCTTCGGCCTGGCTCGCGCGTCCTCGGTGGCACACGCCCAGGGGCACGCACCAGAGCATCAGGCTCACTTCGCGTTTTTTTGGTGGGTTGTGTGTGGCAAACAGCGCTCCTCGCTCTTGTTCGTTTGGGCCGAACGACTTCTGCTGGGCCTCGACCCGGGCCGGATCCCCCACAGGAGTCTGGGCATGTGTCTGGACTTGCCCCGATCCACCCAGGCTCACGTCGGGCCACGTCGGGCTGCACCGACTCATCTGGAGGAGGAGGAGAAGGAGGAAGAGAGGAGGAGGGGAGGACTCATCTGGAGAAGGAGGAGGAGGAAGAGGAGGAGGAGGAGGAGGAGGAGGAGGAGGAGGAGGAGGAGGAGGAGGAGGAGGAGGAGGAGGAGGAGGAGGAGGAGGAGGAGGATGATGATGATGATGATGATGAGAAGGAGGAGGAGGAGGAGGAGGAGGAGAAGGAGAGGAGGAGGACGAGGAGAAGAAGGACTCATCTGGAGAAGGAGGAGGAGAAGGTGGAGGGGCTGAGAGCGAGGGGGTCATGGGCAGCGAGAGGGACAGCACAACGGTGAGAGACCCCGTCCCGAGGCGATGCTGGGGTGGCGCTCCGACCGCCTGGCGCGCAAGTTCCCGCAGTACGACGGATGGGGGGTTGGGCTCAGCGCCCCAGGCGTAGCTTGCCCTACGTTCGATGCACACCACTGTGCGCACCGCAGAGATGGCACCCCAGAGGTTCTCCGTTTCAGCGGCGTTAAGCTTTCCCCCGCATGGCGAGGCTACGATCTTACACATGCATGGTCACGAATCCGCGTAAACTTGTAACATGCGGACCACCCGTGCGCATGCGCGCGCACATGCCAACATCCGTCGAACACAGGAACAAATGGTCCCTAACGGGATTGAGCAACAGGTACCAACCATTATGGTGGTCAGTGGAAGTCTACCGGATGTCTATTGCGCGCGCATTCGAAGATCATCACACAGCATACCCTGATTGTGCCACTCATGGGACCATGCGGTTGGGCGTCACGCGCGTGCAGGAAAAACTCATGCAACATGTCTCGCGCTCCCGTCAACTCTTTCTTTGACACGCGCCCGTCCCCGCGCGCGCATATCGAAATCATTGCAACACCATTGTTTGTTACTGGTAAACAGTATGTGAGGGTTTCAGCGCGCGCATTTCGTCACCGTCCTCACCAGCACCATCGTCATCATCATCGCCCCCGTCATCATTGCCATCATAATCATCGTCACCATCATCTTCACATCTTCAGTCTCCTCGTCATCATCATCATAACCATCCTCATCACCATCGTCATCGTCATCGTCATCGTCGTTGTTGTTGCCCTCGGCATCGTGACCGTCGTTGTCGCCGCCATCGCCGTCACTATCATCACACGCCCGCCCGGGTAATGTGTCTGCATGGGAAGGGTCCTCGCGTCGACGCGCCAGCTGAATCGTGCCAAGCAAATGTGACTGGATGTGTTGTTGCTTGCTCGAGTACTGGAGTTGGCGAGTTCGATGCCCTTCAACCAATCATTGCGCCAAATCGAGTGCTCTTGCTACCGCCCAGTAGAGTACACCGCAGAGTGCGCCCCACAGCTTGCACTCCATTGTTTGCTCCACATAGCTTGCACCGCACACATAGCACCACATAGCTTGAACCACACAGGTTGTACTACATAGCTTGCACCATGAAGGTTGCAGCACACACATGTCGCACTTCCTATATATTGCACGCCCAGGGTGCACGGACTCGCTGTTTAGGGCCCACGCTGGAAAACATGGGTTGTTCAACTCGATCTTCCTTCTCTGCCTCCCTTGATCCTCGCATTCCTCGTGCTCCTCGTATTCCTCTTCGTCGCCTTCTCCGGCCGACGGGGGTGCGGGGATGCCCTTCAGGAGCTATCGTGCGCGCATGGGGGAGAACGATGCCCGTGGTGGGCATGAATTTCATGCCCCGCTACAGGCCGCCGCCGTCGCCGCCGTCGCCGCCGTTGCCGTCGTCGTCACCATTGCCGTATGAGGGGGACGGATGGGGCACAGGAGGAGGAGTAGGAGGAGGAGGAGGAGGAGGAGGAGGAGGAGGAGGAGAAGGAGGAGGAACAGGAGTGGGAGGAGGAGGAGGAGGAGGAGAAGCAGGAGGAGGAGGAGGAGGAGGAGGAGGAGGAGGAGGAGGAGGAACAGGAGTGGGAGGAGGAGGAGGAGGAGGAGAAGCAGGAGGAGGAGGAGGAGGAGGAGGAGGATGAGGAGGATGAGGAGGAGAAGGAGCAGGAGGTGGAGGTGGTGGAGGAGGGCCCAGATGAGGATGAGGATGAGGATGAGGAAGAGGATGATGATGCTGATGCTGATGCTGATGCTGATGCTGATGCTGCTGATGATGATGATGATGATGATGATGATGATGATGATGATGATGGTGCTTGTGATGGTGATGATGATGGTGGTGCTGCTGCTGCTGCTGCTAATGATGACGATGATTCTGATGGTACTGATGCTGATGCTGATGCTGCTGCTGCTGATGGTGGTGGTGATGCTGATGCTGATGATGATGATGATGATGATGATGATGATGATGATGATGATGATGGTGGTGATGATGATGCTGATGCAGATTGTGGTGGTGGTGATGAGGATGAGGAGGATGACGAGCAGGATGAGGACGAGGAGGAAGGGGATGTGCGAGGAGGGGATGAGACGGAGGGATGAGAGGGGGAGAGAGGAGGAGGAAGACAAGCTAGGTGCACTTGCGCCTCATCAAATATCCCCTCCCTCCCCCCATTTCTTTCTATCTGCGCAGATTGTTGTCTCTATCCGCGGGCGCGTGTTCCAGTTGCCGACCTGCAGCTCCAGACCTGGCCACAAGTCCACTTCGTGTTGAACGCGCAGTCGGGGGAACAGGGGAGCTGCGTGCACGGGATGATAAGGTGGCGGGTGGGCAGGATGGTTACGGTGGGGGCGTTCGTTAAGGAACGTGCCCAGGAGGCTTCAGACCCTGGAGGGTTCCTTATCTGATGAGGGCGGCGGTGATATCCATGGCCAATCTGCGATTGGCTTTCCACTGGCTTCCAGACCCTGGATTCCTAATCGAAAGTTTCCTTATCCAATGCCATCACCGTAGCGGGTGACAGGGACGTAGGCGGAGGAGGGGAAATGAGGGGGGCCGACAACAATGAAGAAATATTCGGATCCAGAAAAGCGTCCCGCGTGGGGGCGAGAGCGCCAGTCTGAATGACGGGAGCACAGCGCCGATCCGATCGTGAGGCCCCGCTGTAGCGGGAGCACGATCTCGATGAATCGAGAAAATGTCATGAGGTCAGCGCTGCAGCGGGAGAATGATTTGGAATGGCCGAGGGCGCGACAATGAAGCCAACGCTGGAGCGGGAGCGTCATTCTGGAAGGGCCGAACACGCGCGGGATGGAAAGGCACATATGGTCGATCAACGTTCGGGGATCATTTGTTGAGGGGGAGGGGGAGGGGGGGGGGAAGGGAGATGCGACGGAGGATCAGGTGGGACGAGGAGGAAAGGGAGGAGGATGAGGACAAGGAGGAGGAGGAGGAGGAGGAGGAGGAGGAGGAGGAGGAGGAAAAGGAGGAGGAGGAGGAGGAGGAGGAGGAGGCATGATATCACATCCGCCAGGCCGAACGAGCCAGCGGGCCCCCTCGCACAGCATACGAATCATTGGTAACAGGACTGGGCCTCCTTCCCACCCAGCAGGACGGGCAGCGCCCGCGTGCGACCCCGCTTCCGACGACCTGGCCGGGGGGTATAGCGCGGGCCGCGCAAGGGCGGGAGCAGAACTCCAAACAGTTCCTCGCGCGGCGCTGCGGCGAGGGCGGCTTTCAGCTCCGTCCCTGGCGGCCGGAGGGCCGACGAGCGCGGCGAAGACGAGCCTCGCGCCGCGCCGAAGCGGTGCTGCCGCCTCCACGCGCGGACTGCGCGGCGCTCGGGCGAGCGTCGCACTTCGCCCGCGCTCGCGTGGCTCCGCCGCCACTGCCGCTGTCGTGCGGTCTGGCCAGCGAGGCATCCGCCGCGCCCACGCGGGAACGCCACGTCCAGGCGAGGCGTGTGCGCAGCTGTTTCTGGGGGCTGCGGGGCGCCCGCTCGCGCACGGCCCCGCCCCCCCCCCCCCAGCGATTTGACGAGTGGCCGCTACGCTCCGCCCCGATGCGGGAGCGCCACTTTCATGCGATATCTGCGCTTGCCTCGGGGGCATGTTCGCCCCTGCTTGCGTCGACGAGTTGGCGGGTGTCGGATGTGCGCCGCTTCCAAGCGGGAGTTCAACTCCTGAGGACAATGGGCGCGACGCTGAGGCGAGAGCGATATGTCTGCCTTTCGCGTGGTATGTGCGCCCCGTTATGCTCCTGCCGTGCATTTTGCAACTTCGTCACCAAACCGCCACTGTTGGGAGGTACAAAGTCGATTTTGTGAGTGTGCATTTTTGCCCACATTCTAGCTGGGGTTCTTGCTTTCTCTGGACACCCTGCGCAGTCCTTCCGTACCCTCTTGTCATCTTCTTTTCATTTCACATTCATCATGATCACCATCACCATCATCATCCGTATCACCATAGTCGAATCGCCAGCGTTATCAGCATCACTATCACCATCTCACCATGGTCATCGACCATCGGTCACCATCATCATCATCCTCCTCCTCCTCCTCATCATCATCATCATCATCATCATCATCATCACCACAATCACCATCATTACCATCATCACCATCATCTCCGTCATCATCATCACCACCATCACTGCACACACTCATTTACTCACACACACGCGCGCACACTATCGCCCTCATTTTGAGGAAGTCTTCGGCGGGAGCTTCGTCTGTGAATGAGTTGCGGGGACGCCTCAGGTGGGAACCTTTTTTTTCCGGGGCCAACACTTCCTGTTTGTAATCCGAGCGGGTCATCCTAAACCTTGTACCTGTCGTCATTTTTGGGCTCCTCAGTCTCGAGCGGGGGCCTCGTCTGTGAGTGAATGGCGGGGACGTCTCAGGCGGGATCCCTCTCCCCATGTGGACCGGCGATCACGTCAAACTCCGAGCGGCGGTGAGGAGACGGGAATATAACCTCTGCGCTCACGAGGACGACGATGACGTCGGAGCAACTGGATGGGCAGGATGGAAGGTGTTGGACTGAATTGCCATCGGCTGGCTAGGTGGCAGAGTAGGAAACTATACGAGGGGGGCGGGGGGGCAGGCATGGATGCGGGAAGGAGGATGCGAGGAGGGGGGAGGGGGGGAGGCAGAGGAAAAGCAACACATTTGATGGTGGGACAGGAGGAGAGAAAGAGGACGGAAGAGGACAAGGACGAACACCAGATCAAGCTCGTGTCCGTCATGAAGAGGAGAAGGAGGAAGGACAAGGAGGGTGACGAGGAGAAGGGGGAGGGGAACAGGGAGGTTGATTAAAAGTAGAAAAGGAGGAGGAGGAGCAGGAGGAGGAGGAGGAGGAGGAGGAGGAGGAGGAGGAGGAGGAGGAGGAGGAGGAGGAGGAAGACGAGGACGAGGAGCAGGAGGAGGAGGACGAGGAGGAGGAGGAGGAGGAGGAGGACGAGGAGGAAGAAAAAGAAACATAAACATAATAAGTAAAAAATAAGAAGAAAAGGAGGAGGAGGACATGGAGGAAGAGGAAGAAGAGGAGGAGGAGGAGGAGGAGGAGGAGGAGGGTGCCCAGGAGGAGGAAGGCCAGAGTTAACCCGACGCCGAATCTGGGGTGCTGCACCCCCGCCGTCGCCAGTTCCACTCACAAACCTCCGACAAGTGTTCGCTTGCGATGCATCAAGTGCCGCCCCCTTGAAATATTCACAACCTCGTGGGACTGCCACTCGGGCGAGAGAACGCCGTGAGGGTCCGCCCGCAATCCGTCACCGATGGGGAACGCGGCGAGGTAGGATCACAAATGTTTGCTTCGCTTGTCGCGCCGCCGACTCTGGCCAGCCACGCTTCGTCGCGACATGCTAAGCACGTCCCAGGCCCCAAGTATCAACGGCTCGTGTACGGGCGTGGGCCAGGGCGTTGCTGCCGCTTGTGCAAGCCCGGCGAGCGCAGCGGGCGTCGGAGGGTGTGCTGCAGTGTCAGTGTCCGTAATGGGGAACGTAAGAGGATACCATAGCATGACGGTGGCTTTCCGCTGAGACCAACGACCAGCGGATCACAATGAGAGGTTTTATCGTGGTTCCCCCTCGGTCCCCAGACTCGGCACCCATTGACTTGTGTGTGTGTGTGTGTGTGTGTGTGTGTGTGTGTGTGTGTGTGTGTGTGTGTGTGTGTGGGGGAGCGCACGTGCTGGTCAGCAGCGTCTGGCGCACGGTCACCAATCAGTGACCACGGACATGGTGAGGATGAGGAGGAGGAGGAGATGGAGGCGGAAGAGGTGGAGGAGGAGAATGAGGAAGAGGGCGGGAGGCGAAGCAGGATGAGGAGGATGGGATGCGAGAGTAAGAGGAGGAGGAGGGGGAGGAGGAGGAGGACGAGGATGATGAGTAGGATGATGACGATGATGATGAAGATGAGGAGGATGATGATGATGATGAGGAGGAGGAGGAGGAGGAGGAGGAGGAGTGTAGAGATGGAAGAAGGGGCAATGATGAAAATGCTGATGAAAACACGGGAAGCAGATACCAGGATGAGAATGAGGCTAACAATTGGTATGATGACGGTGGTTCTGATGATAACGATGACGATGATGAAGGCGCTGCTGTAGGGAGATGATGATGACGTAGATGACGTTAATGCTGATGATGGTGGGTATTCTTATGAGAGCGCTGGTGATTCCACAGATGATGCTGCCGACGAGTATGATGCTGATGACCAGGGTTACGACTATGACGATTATGAACGTTATGAGGATGACGATGACGACGACGATGATCACGATGCTGACGATGATGATGTCAATGATATTGTTGATGCTGTTGTTAATGATGGTGCCAATGAGTGGGCATACAATGCCATGATTGCAGGGCGACGTGAATGATGACGGTGATGCTGATGACGCTGATGGTATCGGCGATGACGACGAGGATGATAATGCTTAATGCTGATTCTGATGATGATTGAAGATGACGAGGGTAGTTGTGATTCTGGTGATTGTGGTGCTTGTGGTGGTAATGGTGATGATGCCGATGATGATGATGATGATGATGATGATGATGATGATGATGATGATGATGATGATGATGATGATGATGATGATGATGATGATGATGACGATGACGATGACGATGAGGGTGACGAGGTTGACGACGATGATGACCATGGTGGTGGTGATGACGGTGCTGGTGATGAGGGTGATGGTGTGATGGTGGTGGTGATGACAATGGTGATGATGATGGTGATGATGATGCCGATCACGACGACGATGATGATCACGAAGAGGTGCATGAGGAGGATGATCCGTCGTTGTTGGCCATCCTTGTGCTCTTCCTTCTGCTACTGCTTCATATTCCTGTCACTCAGAACGCTGCTTTGGTTGCTGATGATGAAGAGAGAGTATGATGAGTGAGCATGATGAGGGGGATGATGATTGCACTGACGATGAGTCGAATGAGGATGATGTGGAGGGTGCGGAGAATCGGAGGATGATGAGGAGGATGCTGAGTCGGGAAGAGGATGAGATGGTGGAGGAGTGGCTGGAGGAGGAGGAGGAGGATGAGCCATTCCTTCATTCCCAGATCTTGCTTCGCCGAGCGATAGGCGCCATATGCTGACCGCCGAAAACAGGAGGCAGAACTTCCGGGGCCGCTCGGACTGGGCCCAGGCTTGACGCGTTCGAGGCGCGCGCAGGATGTGGAATGGTGTGGGGGCGGAGTAGAAGATGTATCAAGAGGAGATATCGGAGGAAGAGGAAGGTAAGGAGGGTGAGGAGGGCAAGCAGGGACGATGTGGAGGAGATGTAAGAGAGACAGATGGATGATGGAAGCGGATGAGGAGGATAAGGTGGAGGTCCACCCTAGTTGGTCGGTTTCGCGGGATAATGAAGCACCCTCGCATGCCTCTCGGCAAGGTAGCCAACTGCGCCTGGATCACCCGCATCAGGGTGGATGCGCGCGCATTGGAAGCAGCGGGCTACTTGCCCATCCTAGGCCCCTATCTGATCCAGCGTGTGAGGGATCTCATCGCGCTGGCGAGAGCCACTTTCTAAGCCTCTCCCCTTCTTTCCGCGCGGCGATGTCTGGCCCGCAGTCGCGGAAGCCCAACCGCGACAGCCACCGTGCCGACTGCCGCCGAGTGGCGATCGCCGCAGTCGCCGCCCTGGGGAAGTCCGCGTGCGGCGAGGCCTGTGCGGGCGGGGTGGGGCGGCAATTTGGGGATGAACGCAGAGGAAGCGGAGTTCTCAAAGAAGGTCCGGAACATCCGCGCCCTGCACGACGCAGGGGTCAGGCTGGAGGTTGCGCTCAACTTGGGCAACGTCGACATCTGCGCGGACGCGAAACAGCCAAGAATGAGCTCTATACGAAGGAGGCCCGAGCGATCCTGGAAACGGGCCGGGAGCTGGGAGCCACTGGCGACAACGTGGTGGAGGAGTTCGAGATGGGCGAGAGGATCATTGGGGTGGCCACGAAGGCCATGAAGAAGCACAACACAGGCGTCAACCTGATAAGGATCAGATTTCGCTTCTCGGCTCTAAGGGGTTCTGCTGGTGGCGGAAGTGGCAGAGCGTCGTGGTGCCCTCCGGGGGGCCGAAAAAGGACGTGACGCCACCCAGCAGGATTCTCCTTTTTTTCCTCAAACCGCCCTAACTTACAATAGGTGGTGTCTATCTTCTGGGCGTTTTGTCAGATATTGATGGGCAGTGTTGATCTTTCTATGGCAGACGTCTGCGAGTAGATTGGCAGACGCCTCAACACCTAGCCCTGCGTGCGGCCGTCCCCCGGGGCGACGCGCGCGCGCAGTCGCAGGCGCTGGGGCCAACCCGCAGAGTGTGGCCAAACGTAGGGTGGGGGCAGCGTGGCCCTCGGCGGGGGCGGGTCGGCGAGGCTGGCGGGCAGCTGCGGGTCCAGAAGGGGGGGGGGGCGCGGGCGCGCTTCCCGGGCCCCCGGAAGGATCCCCTGGCCAGGACCTCAGGGGGGAGACGTGCGCTGCGGTGGCCGTGCTTCGTTCTGCGCCGCTCGGCCTGCGCGGCCAGGCCAGCGCGAGGCAGCTGCGGCCGGGGCTTCTCAGACCCTTGGAGCGCGGCTCGCAGCGCCCGTTCCCCTCTAAGCAGCGCCGGCGGCCAGACTGACTTCATGCCTCCGCGCGTGTGTATCCGCAGGCCTGTTTAGCATCGGGAGCGGCTCTCGCAGCATCGCCGATCTGCCGTCTGTGCTGAGCAGGGTTTGATCCACTCATCTGCATGCGGGCGGATCAATCGTGTCGTCGTAATAGTAGTAGTAGTAGTAGTAGTAGTAGTAGTAGTAGTAGTAGTAGTAGTAGTAGTAGTAGTAGTAGTAGTAGCAGTAGTAGTAGTAGTAGTAGTAGTAGCAGTAGTCGTAGTAGTAGTAGTAGTAGTAGTAGTAGTAGTAGTAGTAGTAGTAGTAGTAGTAGTAGTAGTAGTAGTAGTTAGTAGTAGTAGTAGTAGTAGTAGTAGTGGTAGTGGGGTAGTAGTAGTAGTAGTAGTAGTAGCAGTAGTAGTCGTAGTAGTAGTAGTAGTAGTAGTAGTAGTAGTAGTAGTAGTAGTAGTAGTAGTAGTATTAGTAGTAGTAGTAGTAGTAGTAGTAGTAGCAGTAGTAGTTAGTAGTTAGTAGTTAGTAGTTAGTAGTAGGTAGTAGGTAGTAGGTAGTAGGTAGTAGGTAGTAGTAGTAGTAGTAGTAGTAGTAGTAGTAGTAGTAGTAGTAGTAGTAGTAGT